AGAAATTCAGGGTGCGCCTGGCTGGCTCAGTTGGTGGAGCATGTGACCCCATCTCGGGGTTGTGAGATCGAGCCCTGCATTGGGTGTGATTATTTAAAAAAAATAAAATCTTTTTTTTAAAGATTTTATTTATTTATTTGAGAGAGAGAGAATGAGAGAGAGAGAGCATGAGGGGGGAGGGCCAGAGGGAGAAGCAGACTCCCTGCTCAGCAGGGAGCCCGATGTGGGACTCGATCCCGGGACTCCAGAATTATGACCTGAGCCAAAGGCAGTCGCTTAACCAACTGAGCCACCCAGGCGCCCCCCCAAAAATAAAACCTTAAAAAGAGAAATTAATCTGCTTTGATAGCTTGGTGAGTACCTACTATACCTCACTATGTAAATTATCATCTTCTGCAAGAATCTAAACTGAATGACTGACCCTCTTCTCCCACCACATAGAGATTAGGATTCCCAGAGGGAAGGGTTAGGAAGAGCCAGAAAGACAAATAAGATGTATGGCTCTGTCCTCAAAGACTTAGGAGCGTGCACTGCACACACACGCACTCCAGTACTATATATATGCATATATTAATGAGAATATGTTTTAAGGGGGGTAGTCATGTCTGGTTTATCACTATGATTAGCTTCTAGCTGAGCCTGGAAGGACAAACAAAAAAGCTCACAAAGAACTCAAGGAAAAGAAGAGAAAAGCATTCCAGGCTGAAGGAAACCACCTCCAAACCCTACCTCTCTCCCTCCTGCCCCCCCCCCATATATACAGGCTTGCAAAGGATGAGCACGTGCAACCGTCCAGCTGGAATGCTGCCCTGAGAGCGGGCTGGAGGTAGGAAGAGGCCAATGTTAGAGGACACAGGGCTCCATGGAGTTGGGCTCAGGCCTCTCTGACTTCAAAACTAACGCTCTTTTTGTCATCTTCTCTCTTTAAAAGACAACCCAGAACTCTCTTAGCCTGCATTGTGGTTTATTGAAATTTAGTCCTCATTCTATCCCCTATAGCAAAATAGGTCATTCATCCTGAACTGGAGAGCCCTTCCATGCCAGAAAAGAATTCTCTTGGTCTAGCTTAATCCTTTTCAAGGTAAATACCTTCGTTCCTTTAATGGTTTCTCTCTGGCCATCATCATGATCATCTTCCTCTGGATGTGATGTGGTTTATGAAGCTGTATCTTCCAGAGAAGCACCTTGAACAGTGTTGGACCACTGAACACCATCGGTTTAGTGCACCCTGTGACACTGTAACTCCTCCTGAGGTCTAAATGTGTGGGTTCTTTTTTTTTTAAGACTTTTTTTTTTAAAGATTTTATCTATTTATTTGAGAGAGAGAGAGAGAGAGAGAGAGAAGGAGAGAGAGCACAAGCTGGAAGAGAGAGCATGAGGAGGGGGCAGAGGAAGTGAATTTTTTTTTTTATTTTTTATTTTAAGTGAAAGTGAGCTCTAGGTCCAATGTGGGGCTTGAACTTACAACCCAGAGATCAAGAATCACATGTTCTACTGACTGAGCCAACCAGGTGCTGCCCCCCACTTTTTTTTTTAAGTAAAAGCATTTCTTTTCATCTTCTTTTCTTTATTATTATGAATGTGTGCATTCTTAAGCAGCTTTTAAATGTATTGTTCTGAAAGTTACCGTTTCTTGAATACATTTTTTAAGGATTTATTTATTTGAGAGTGAGAGAGCACAAGCAGGGGTGGAGCGGAGGGCAGAGGGAGAGGGGGAAGCAGTCTCCCTGCCAAGGGTTCTGAGGACTCCATCCTCAGACTCTAGGATCATGAGCTGAGCCGAATGAAGGCAGACGCTTAACCGACTGAGCCACCCAGGCGCCCCTTGAATACATTTTAATAAAAGTTTCCCTATTCCAAATACATTTTAATGAAAACATTTTCTATTCTCTGTAAAATGTTCTTTCAATATTATCTAAATATCGACTAAGGATTTTGTAATCGGTAATGGGTACAAAAGTGTTTTCATTCTTAGTTCTGAAATGGTGGATAAATAGAAATAATGGACTATCTTTTGGATAGTGAGTGTCATGAAAGCAGGGACTCCATCTTGCTCATCTTTGTGCTCTGGCTCCCAGCACAGTGTCTGACTCTGAGAAGGCATTTAATTTTTAATCAACAAACAGTGCTGCTGTGAGCCAAACACAGCTTAAAATGCTTCCCAGATTTTAATTTATTTCATCCTCATAACCCTGTGAAGGAGGAACTGCTATCATACGAATGTCACAGGTGAGTAAACTGAGGCACAGAGAGCCTAAGCAACTCGCCTAAGGTTTAGGAGGGAGCAGCAGGGCTCCGGCGTCCTCGTTCTCAGTCACTTTGCTGCTTCTCATCAATGTTGGATGAGGGCATGATGGTTGGATTAATCCATGAGGAATGCTTTTGTTAATTTAGGTCATTTATTTTATCCTACAAATATTTCATAAGTGCTTCCTATGTGTCTAGCATCCTGAAAGAAATTTTGGAGAAATGGAGAACTACAAGAATTTGTAATTTTGTTAGAGAGGACACACACACAATTAATATTACAGAGGGTATATTAAGTGTCATACTAGTAGCTCCCACATAGATGCTATAGGAATTCAGAAGGAAAAAAATGATTATATAAGATACAGGGCCATGTGGCAGATAGACCCTAGGTGGCCCTGTGATTCCTGCCCCTGCTGATCACACCCTGTATAATCCCCTCCCCCTGACGGTGGGCAGCACCTATGACTTGCTTTTAGTTAATGAATATGGCAAAAAAAAGGGGGGGGGATTTTGCAGATGTAATTACCCCTGAATCACTTGATTCTGGGTCAGGCCCTGGGTGGCCCTAAGTTACCAAATAGAGTGAGAGCCCCAAGAAGAAGAGGAACTGGGCCTTCCCTGAGCTGAGAGACTGTCTTGGTGGACTTAAGTAAGTAGCCATGTTGAAGAAGCGCATGGCAAGGAACTGTGGGCAACCTCTATGGCCTGAAGGTGGCCTCAGGACAAACAGCTAGGAAAAAGCTGGGGCCCTCCCTCATAAAGTTGCAAGGGAATTAATTTTGCTAACAACACCAGTGAACTTGAAAGTGGAGTTTTCCTCTGTCAAGCCTCCAAATGAGAACACGGCCTGTGACTGACATCCCAACAGCAGCCTTGTGAGAACCTGACCAGAGGACTGTTAAGCTGTGCTCAGATTCCTGACTCATGAAAACCATGAGATGATAATGTGCGTGTTTTAAGCTGCTAAGTTTAGTGTGTGGTCATTTGTTACTAAGCAATGGATAGCTAATAGGGACCCTTCCAGATTTAGTGGATATGGGGGAGAAGGGAGACCTCTCTCTGCTTATTCCTAGATTTTATGATCATGGACAGGGAGAATTAAGCTGTTATTTATAGAAACAGGGACATCAGGAATAGAAACCAATCTGAGTGGGGGACAGGAAAGATAATGAAGACGTAAATTTTGATGTGCTTAATTTGGGGGAAATACAAATGCCTGAAGTCATCTGGAATTTTTTTTTTTTTAAAGATTTTATTTATTTATTTGACAGAGACACAGCAAGAGAGGGAACACAAGCAGGGGGAGTGGGAGAGGGAGAAGCAGGCTTCCCGCCGAGCAGGGAGCCCGATGCGGGGCTCGATCCCAGGACCATCATGACCTGAGCCGAAGGCAGACGCTCAACGAATGAGCCACCCAGGCGCCCTCATCTGGAATTTTGGAGTGGAGTTTAGGGAGAAAGTCAGAGCTGACAGAAAATTCGGTTATTCTCAGCATAGAGATGACAGCTGAAATCCTAAGAATAATAGAGTTCTCTAAAGGAAGGGTTTCAGAAAGGAAGGAGCAGGAAAGTGACTGTAAATCTTGGGGAAGGGTCTCTGAGTGGGGGAGGGGGGAAGGAAGGCAGAACCAGACCCAAGGGAAGCAGTACTTGTGGAATCATTAGAAAGGACTGGGACTGGGGTGCTTGGGTGGCTCAGTTGGTTGGGCATTCAGCTCTTGATTCCCTCTCAGGTGGTGATCTCTGGGTGGTAGGCTCAAGCTCCACGCCTGCTCCCTGCTCAATGGAGTTGGCTTGAGATTCTCTCTCTCCCTCTCTTTCTGCCCCTCCCCCTGCTCTCTCTCTCAAATAAATATCTATCTATATAAAATCTTTTATTTTAATTTTTAAAATATTTATTTTATTTTTTTAAAGATTTTATTTATTTGAGAGAGAGAGAGAATGAGAGAGAGCACATGAGAGGGGGGAGGGTCAGAGGGAGAAGCAGACTCCCCGCTGAGCAGGGAGCCCGATGTGGGACTCGATCCCGGGACTTCAGGATCATGACCTGAGCCGAAGGCAGTCACTCAACCAACTGAGCCACCCAGGCGCCCCTAAAATATTTTATAAGATATTTATTTGACAGAAAAAGACAGAGAGAAGGAACACAAGCAGGGAGAGTGGGAGAGGGAGAAGCAGGCTTCCTGCTGTGCAGGGAGCCGGGATGTGGGGGTCGGTCGATCCCAGGACCCCGGGATCATGACCCAGCGGAAGGCAGATGCTTAACGACTGAGCCACCCAGGCGCCCCAAATAAAATCTTTTAAAAAAGAAAAAAAGAGGACTGTGATTAATTGGTTCTCCTGCGCTGGGGGGCCGGTTCCCTCCAAGTGTAATTATAATGCAACCGCTAGGAGGCAGTCTATTTTACAGGTAGGAAAACTAAGGACTTAAAGGTTTAAATCATCTAAATCATTATCACCCTAAAAGCCAGTGAAAGCTGGATTCTAACTCACATATCATACCAAAGCCAGAGATCCTTCCACTGCATTTAATTCATCTTTATTTTCCAAAGAGCGTAAAATGAGTCAGTGGGGGCGAGGACAGGGGAGAGCTCTCCAGGTGCGGGGAGGGGCGGAGAGAAACCGAGGGCATCCTTCCGCCGCTGCTCTCCTAGCCGCCAGCAGAGGCCGCCCGAGTACAGACTCCGCGGGCCAGATGCGCGCAGGCGCAGGCGCAGGCGCGCTTGACTCCGCTCTCCCTGGCGCGCCGGGCCGGTGGGGGCGGGTCACGCAGATCGCGAGGCCCGGAGCAGTGCTGGTGGCTGGCGGCTGCGGCGGCGGAGCTGCGGGGCCGGGAGCCGGCGCGGGGCTCTGGGTAAGCGAGGCGCCGCGCAGTGGTGAGCCCGCCGGGAGCCATGGAAATCGGCACCGAGATCAGCCGCAAGATCCGGGTAAGGCCCGCGTCGGGCGGGGGCGGGAAGCCGGGCCTCAGCGCGCGGGCGCGCGGTTGTCAGGAGTAACGGGGACTGTGGGCCCGGCCTGGACGCCGCGGCCTAGTCGCCGCCGGGGGCTCTCGGCGAGCTGCGGGGTCGGCGAACGACTCCTCCTCGGCCTGGGTCGCCTCGGGCCGGCGGGCGAGCAGGGCCGCGGCTGGAGAAAGCCGCCGGGAGCGGAAGGAGGCGTGGAGCGCCGGGCGAGAGACGCGCTCGGCCGTGGCTGGGGGGGCGCGCGGGGACGGGGGAGGGGCCCTGGCGCCTCCCCGCCCCCACCTGAGACCTGGGCGCCGAGGGGGCGGGAGGTGCGCGCGGCTGCCAAGCTGCCTCTGCGTTACGGAGCCGGGCGGTTTTCCGCCTTTTCTCACACGCACGTTTGTCTTTCTCTTCTTCCTTCAGAGTGCCATTAAGGGGAAACTGCAAGAATTAGGAGCTTATGTTGGTAAGTTTTGTGGTTGTCAGCGTAATAGAATTTAGACTTTGCTGCTAATTGAATTTTAGTGAATTCATTTTTCCCCCCTTCGTGCTTTCGACTTTGGAGAAACCCCGTTTTACTTTCAAATCTGATTCTCTGCGGTTTCTTTTTCTTACTGCCTTTTCTTGAAATCTCTGTATGCAACCTTGCCCCCCCCCAAAAAAACCCGCTAAATGCTGCTTTTGAGATTGTTTAGCCTCCTCTGTTGAGGCTCTGTTTTAGTCTCCATGTTTGTTTGATTCCGTTTTTCCTATTCTCTTTGCTTCCCTCTTGATCTTTTTGTTTCAGAACTGTTACTTTGCATATGAATGTTTTCTGGCAGTTTCCTCTGTCGCGGTTCAGTGAGTTTTATTTTCAAATCTCTTTTTTCCTGTCTCTTTTCCTCTTAGCACCCACATTAATGTGTTCTCTTTCTCTTTATGCTTTTATGATTTATCATTTGATCAGTCACTGTGCTTAACCATTGTCTGTGCGTTAGGTCATTAAAATATCCAGGAGAACACTGGAAGGTAAGTGGTAATACTCCTGCTTGTACAAGCAAGGAAACTGAGGCTTTGAGTGCTTACTTGTTATGGATTGAGATTTGGGTCTGTTTGGCTCCAAAGCTGGTGCCTCCTGTAAAAGTAATTTACCACGTGGTTCTCAAGATGTGAGAGATAGGTGCCATGGGTCTCTGAAGTCAAAACTATTTTCTCATTAATACTGAAAGGGTACTTGCCATTTTCACTGGGCTGACATTTGGATTGTGCAAAAGCAGTGGTGAGTTAAACTGGTGGTGCCTTAATCTGGAGATCTCACCCCAGACTCTATGAGAAATCCTATCACCCCTCCCCTGGGAATTTTTTTAAAAAGCCAGTTTCACTTAATTAGTGAAGCAGTAAAAATAGTTTTTTAAATCTTGGCCCTTGAGTACGTCTTTTAAATGTGTGATGTGAGAAAATAGGAATTACTCATGAAGTACTTCTGTATATTAAAACAGGTTGATCTGTCTAAAGGGAAAGGATTTCTGTGATCAAGTTAGCCACCTTTTTCATGGAACATTATTTTTATCTTCTAACACTGACAAACTAGACATACACTTGGCTATTTGGCAGACATTTTCTTGAAAGTGAACAGAGGAAAAGAACTGATACACTTTGTTACCAACAACAAAAGTTGAGCTTTCAGGTGAAAATTAGAATTTTGAAAAGTTTGTTTCTGCTTTCATGAACTTGAAAGCTTCCCAGTACTTAAAAGAATTTCTGATGATGACATTAACAAATGATTCTTTTGTATCTGGCAATGAATTGTATCAACATATCAGTGATTTGTATAGCTCTCTGAACCAGTAGTTTTTCAAATGATCAATGCATGATGTTACAAAATTATACAAGGGAAAAAGATTCATTAAAAGTGGAGGGTGGATCAATGGATTTTCATGTAACAAGGTACAAAAAGGTGATTGATAGAGTTTTAGTTTCCATATGCTGCCTACCTTTAAGAAACTACCACTTGTTGAGTTTTGATGTAGTTTCACAGAAGAATGTCCACAGTATCTGAAAAGGCTTTTAAAATACAGTTGACCCTTGAACAACTTAGGGGTTAGGGCTGCTGGACACTCCCCTCCCTGGCACAGTTTTAAAGATGAGTATAATTTTTGACTATCTCCAGATTTACCTACTAATAGCCTACTGTTGATCAGAAGTCTTATTGGTAACATAACCAGTCTGTTAACACATATTTTATATATTATATGTATTCTATATTTTTACAGAAAATAAGCCAGAGAAAAGAAAATATCACAGGGGCGCCTGGGTGGCTCAGTCGTTAAGCGTCTGCCTTCGGTTCAGGTCATGATGCCAGGGTCCTGGGATCGAGCCCCGCATCAGGCTCCCTGCTCTGCGGGAAGCCTGCTCCTCCCTTTCCCACTCCCCCTGCTTGTGTTCTCTCTTGCTGTGTCTCTTTCTGTCAAAAAAAAAAAATCTTAAAAAAAAAAAAAATCACAGTCATAAGGAAGAGAACATGCATTTTTGATACGTGTATCAAAAAAATCCAAGTATAATTGGACCCAGGCAGTTCAAACCCATGTTCAAGGGTCAGCTATACTTTCTTTTCCAACTGTGTATTTGTGAGGCCAGATTTTCGTCATATTCTTCAATTAGAGCAACATACCGTAACAGGTTAAATGCAAAAGTGGAAATTGAATCTAGCTTTTTAAAAACCAGATATTAAGAAATTTTAAAATTGTAACTAGTTTTGTTATTTCTTTGGAAAATTTAGTTATTTTTTATAAAAATGTTAATGATGTGATATAAATGGGTTTATTAACGTGATAAGTGTTATTTTTTTAAATGTTTTATTTATTCATGAAAGAGAGAGAGAGGCAGAGGCAGAGGGAGAAGCAGGCTCCCCACGCAGCAGGGAGCCCGATGTGGGACTCGATCCCAGGACCCCGGGATCATGACCTGAGCCTAAGGCAAACGCCCAATCATCTGAGCCACCCAGGCACCCTAAGTGTGTTATTTTAAATGAGACTTAAATTCTCATTTTTTCTAGCATGGTAATTATCAGTAGATAGTTCACATAAAAGTTCTTTTTTGTCGTTGGTAACAAAGTGTATCAGTTCTTTTCCTCTGTTCACTTTCAAGAAAATGTCTGCCAAATATCCAAGTGTATGTCTAGTTTGTCAGTGTTAGGAGATAAAAATAATGTTCCATGAAAAAGGTGGCTAACTCGATCATGACCTGAACTGAAATTAAGAGCTGGAAGCTTAACTGACTGACCCGCCCTGGGTCATCAGAGCATAAAGCAAACCTGAGACCCAACAGTTTGAGAATTACTAATTTGGGGCGCCTGGGTGGCTCAGTTGGTTAAGCCGCTGCCTTCCGCTTGGGTCATGATCCCAGGGTCCTGGGATCGAGCCACACATCAGGCTCCCTGCTCAGCGGAGAGCCTGCTTCTCCCTCCCCCTCTGCCTGCTACTCTGCCTACGTGTGCTCTCTCTCTCTCTCTCTCTCTCTCTTAAATACGTAAATAAAATCTTAAAAAAAAAAAAATTACTAACTTACCACATGCTGGGCACTTTTTATAAATTATTTGTCAAGATTGTTCTAAGCCTTTAACAGATAAGAGAATTGAAGCTCAGAAGTAAAGATGAAGCTGAACCAGAAATGATTTATTATTTGTTCAACATTTGATGGATACCAGCTATGTGTCAGGAACTTGTTTGGTTCAAAAAGAAATCTACAGTAAATCTCTAGCATAAACTTTCTTAGTTCTAGCACATGAAAGCACAAACATGTATTAATTGAGTCTAAGTTCAGTCTTATTGATGATTCCTATTATTTTTTTGAAGGTTATTATTTTTTAAAGATTTTATTTATTTGAGAGAGAATGAGATAGAGCATGAGATAGGGGAGGGTCCTATCTCTCATTCTCTCTCTCAAATAAATAAATAAAATCTTTTAAAAAAAAAAAAGAAAATGCAAGTTAATAGAAAGAAAAGAAAGAAGGAAAATGTGCTTTCCTGTCACTATTAGCTCTCTTTCTCCCTTTCTCTCTCTCTCTCTTTCTTTCTTTCTTTGACAGAGAGGGCGTGCACCAGCAGGAGGAGTGGCAGGCAGAGGGAGAAGGAGAAGCAGGCTCCCCACTGAGCAGGGAGCCTTATGCAGGACTTGGTCCCAGGACCCTGGGATCATGACCTGAGCTGAAGGCAGACTCTTAACCCACTGAGCCACCCAGGCGCCCAGGAAAGCACATTTTCATCATTGACATTGTGAGGGAGAAAATCTGTGAAGGCTGGCAAAGCATTCTAACTTTTTTTGTTCACCTTTCCTGGGTTACCAATGGTAGTCCATAGGAGGTAGGTACACTTTGCATAAATAGGCTACCAGGCTTATTGCTGCAATTGCCGGAAACAGTGGGAACCTTTTGATACTGTGCAAAGTGTTATATTTTTTTTTAAAGATTTTATTTATTGATTTGAGAGAGAGAGAATGAGAGAGATAGAAAGCACGAGAGGGAAGAGGGTCAGAGGGAGAAGCAGACTCCCCGCTGAGCAGGGAGCCTGATGTGGGACTCGATCCTGGGACTCCAGGATCATGACCTGAGCCGAAGGCAGTCGCTTAACCAACTCAGCCACCCAGGCGCCCCTGTGCAAAGTATTATAAATGACTGGCTTCTTGTTCCCACTTACATTGCCTCACATCATATTGCATGATTTCATTAAATATTCAGATTTCTTCAACAGAACAAAAAGGCAGCCTACTGAATGGGAGAAGATATCTGCAAATGATACATCTGATAAGGGCTTCATATTCAAAATGTATAAAAAACTTATAGGGCACCTGGGTGGCTCAGTCATTGAACGTCTGCCTTCGGCTCAGGTCATGATCCCAGGGTCCTGGAATCGAGTCCCGCGTCGGGCTCCCTGCTCCGCGGGAAGCCTGCTTCTCCCTCTCCCACTCCCCCTGCTTGTGTTCCTGCTCTCGCTATCTCTCTCTGTCAAATAAATAGGATCTTTAAAAAAAAAAAACAACTTATATAACTTAACACCAAAAAAAAAATCCATTTAAAAAACGGACAGGGGACCTGAACAGACATTTTTCCAAAGAAGACATACAGATGGCCAACAGACACATGAAAAGATATTAACATCACTAGTCATCAAGGAAATGCAAATCAAAACCACATATATCACTTTACACCTGTCAAAATGGCTGGAATCAAAGAGACAAGAACTTTGCAAGGATGTAGAGAAAAAGGGACCCTCATTCCATTGGTGGGAATGCAAATTGGTGCAGCCACTATGGAAAACAGTATGGAGGTTCCTCAAAAAAATTAAAAATAGGGGCGCCTGGGTGGCTCAAGTCGGTTGAGCATCTGCCTTCGGCTCAGGTCATGATCCCAGGGTCCTGGGATTGAGCCCCACAGCGGGCTCTCTGCTCAGCAGGAACCTGCTTCTCTCTCTCCCTGGCACTCCCCTTGCTTGTACTCTGTCTCTCTGTCAAGTAAATAAATAAAATATTTAAAAAAATTAAAAATAGAAGTACTATATCCAGTAATTCCACTATTGGGTATTTACCCAAAGAAAACAAAACCACTGATTCGAAAAGAACATGCTTCTCTATGTTATGTTGTAGCATTATTTACAATAGCCAAGAAATGGAAGCAGCCCAAGTGCCCATTGATAGATGACTGTATAAAGAAGATAAGAGGGCACCTGGGTGGCTCAGTTGGTTCAGTGACTGCCTTCAGCTCAGGTCATGATCCTGGAGTCCCGGGATCGAGTCCCACATCGGGCTCCCTGCTCAGCGGGGGGTCTGCTTCTCCCTCTAACCCTCTTCCCCCTCGTGCTCTGTGTCTCTCATTCTCTCTCTCTCAAATAAATAAAATCTTAAAAAAAATATATACGTGTGTGTATATGTTTATAATGGAATATTATTCAGCCTTTAAAAACAAGGGGATCTTGCCATTTACGACAACATGGATGGAGCTAGAGGGTATTACACTAAGTCACACAGAAAGACAAATACCATATGATCTTCTTACATGTGGATTCTAAAAAAATGGGCACCTGGCTGGTTGAGTCAGTAGAGCATGTGACTCTTGATCTCAGGGTCATGAGTTCAAGCCCCATGTTGGGTGTAGAGATTACTTAAGTAAAAAATAAAAAAACTAAAACCAGCCCTGACTCTTAGATACACAGAACAAATTGGTGGTTGCCAGAGGGGCGGTAGGTGAGGGATGGGTGAACTAGATAAAGGGGATTAAGAGGTACAAATATCTAGTTATCAAATAAGTCATAGATGAAAAGTACAGCACAGAGAGTATAATCAGTTTTGTAATAACACTGTAAGGTGACACTAACTCTCCGGAGGGAGGGTTGCCACCTAGACTAAAATTTCTTTGCAACATTTTTTTTGTTAGTAAAATTGCAAGAGATCTAAATATCCACTGACATAAAATGAGTAAATTGTATATTCATACCAATAGAGCAGTAAGAAATTTAGATTTCTCTTCATTTGTAGATTGGGCTAAGTATATTTGTGCTTTTCTTGAACTGGATTTTTGATAATTCTCCTTCAAACAAATATTTTATAGTACTTTTTTTGTCTGATAGTACTTCTGAAATGAACCTTTCTGCCTACTCAGAAATACGAATCTTTAAGGTACTAAATCGGAAGGAATTTTTTTGGTGGGGATTAGAGTTCTTGATAAATGCCTTTGCTTCCTTATCTTCTTACTGTGGTGGTTTTGTTTTTGTTGTTTTTGGTCCTAGACCTCACCTTCATAATCATTGTGTTAGGAGCGTATGAGGATAAAACAGTGAATGAAGTTGAAATTATTTAAATACATTTTTTAAATGATGAGAGTGTTTGGGTGGTTTTAGTTTATTTGCTGTTGGTGCAGATTGGTTACCCTGAGATAATAGAAATCTGCCTTTACTGAGGATAAAGATGTTCTCTTGAGAAATGAGTATCATTTTGAAACAGATAAACATAAAACTAGACAAAACTCAGTTAAACTTTCTTGAGGAATGTCCATATGCTTTCTGGAAGCTTCTCTGAAATTGATGAGCATTACTAAAAAGATAAAAAGACAATACACTCTCAAGTTTGGTACTGTAATTCACAATATCTAGTTTTATAAGTATTTGTTAGTTATTCCTAATTCCCATCCTTCTAGTAATTGAAATACCTATGTAATGAAGAGGGGAAAAACTATACTTTCTTGTCCAACATAATTCTAGTAGAGCTGAGATATTAATTTTTAGAGCTATATTTTCAAGTACATTGACTTAAGTAGAAGACAATATTGAGGAAAACATAAAGTTTTTATATACTTTTCCTTTTAACTAGATGAAGAACTTCCTGATTACATTATGGTGATGGTGGCCAACAAGAAAAGTCAGGACCAAATGACAGAGGACCTGTCCCTGTTTCTAGGGAACAACACAATTCGATTCACCGTATGGTATGTTTCTGAATTTTTACCCCTTAGACCAAAGTTTGTCACAAGTCAGAGTAGGTAGTCTGTCTCAAAAGAGGTTCTTGACAGGAGAGTCAGATTCACTGTGGAGAGGGAGGTAGTGAGCCATGAGAGCACAGCTTCTGGAGCCAGACTCCTGAGGTTGAATCCTGGATCTGCCTCTTGCCTTGGTTTTTCTGTTTGTAAAATGGGATTAATAAATCCCCTTTATACGACTGTTGTAAGGATTAAATGAAATAGTACATGTAATGTACTTGTAGCTGTGCCTGGCCCATAGCAAGTCCTTAGTCTATCTTAACTGCAGTTGTTATGTTTCTTTTGTAAATGTTTGCATCTTATTCCTTTCCCCCAACCAAAACCAGTTTACATGTATTTTGGGGGCTGGGTTGACTTCCTAAATTGCTTTCTCTAATGAGTTAACCTTTAGGAGGCAAAATTTTTGGACAAAATTTCAAATCATTTTTAAAAGTTTGGAACTTTCTGAAGTTTGGAATTTTAAAAAGAATTTTATGTTCAAATATAAATTCGTGTTATAATTTTCAGTGTTCTTTTTCAAACCAAGTATTGTCTTTAGTTTAGAAGAGTGACTAAAAGCATAAGATTCAATTTAAGAAGGCAGGTTTGAGGTAGAACGAGGGTGGCGGGAGGGTAATCATGTGACTGAGAATAGATCAGGAAGTACTCCTATAAGCGCCCTCACTCTGGGAACCACCAATTACAACATAAGTTAATAATGGAGCAAAAGTTGAGTGAGCAGAGTGGTCTGCTTGCTTTGGATGGCAAGAGACTGGGAGAGGTAATAGGCATTAAAGAGGGATATGAAACTGGTTAATTTCTTGCCTTTAAACTAAAGTTTATCTTGAAGGTGTTTTTGCCCCTGTGGGCCACTATATGCTTTGCAAGTCTTGTGAAGTTTTCTTGAAATTCAACACAGAATTCTTTATGTTTAGATTATACAGTTTTGTATGACATTCAGTACAGTGGTTGATCCTCACATTTTTTGGTACAGCCAACTACTGCAGAGGGGGTGTCCTAACCCACTCATTACACTTAGTCCCCAGAATTTACCAAAAAAGAGAGAGAGAGAGACTGTGGTACTTTTGACTGGGGAAGTTATCATGAGTACGTTTTTTTTTTTAACTCTTCTGCACTCCAGGTGTTTGTTCTGTTTCATATACATGTTTTATGACTTGACTTTTGGTTCAACCTTTGTATCACTTTTTGGGTTTGAGTCCCACTAGTATACTATGGAAGATTGACCTAGAGATCCTTTCTTAGATAACTTGTTGGAAGGCTTGGGACAAATTTCTTACATAAAGGACTAAATGAATTTGAATTTAAAATCAAATTAATTCAATTTTCTCATCTTGCCATAAATTCCTTAATATGTACTGATGCAAGTTACGGTGTCTCTGTTTGAACTCTTTATTTCCCTGGTTAAGTGTTCATTGACATCAGCCTGAAATGGACTATTACGATTGTTTGGAGCCCTGCAATAATTGTGTCCAAGGGGACAGTAGCATGTGACTGGGTTCTGGGTGAGACATCATGAGATATTTCTGGTATTTTCAGGAGGTACGGCTCTTGGAAGGGATTGTAAGGCAAATTTGCTTTGCATATAACTACTAAAATAGGGTATATTATAAGCAAGGTGATAACTTGTGCTTGTTTACAGCATTAGTAATGAAGTGATATGTTTTGATACTATTTTTCAGGTTTTTTCACCTCTCAGAATTAAGTTGTTCCAGAAACCATATAAATAAACTCTGCTTAAGTAATTGTAGTAATAAGCTGTATTACATATTTCTGATATTTTATTTTTTACCATATGCTACACGGAGTCTTTAGTCCTTATAAAACAAAATTACATTCTTTGTAGATCAAGACTGTGGTCAGATAATATCTTTGCCCTTATTTGTACAGAAGATGTTGAAAGTAATGATGAAAAAATAATGATTTTTGTTTGGCTTCTATAGTATTCATATAAGCCTTTTTAAAAAATGTGGCATTTCTTTAACTTTGATACTTTTTGTCCATTAATTACCATTTATCAATATTTATATCTGAAGGAAGATTCTATAATGTCATCAAATTTCAAGTGATAGTTGAAATAAAATCTTGATTGAGGGAAGCTTTAATATTTTTGTTTTTTTTTTTCTTTTAGGCTTCATGGTGTGTTAGATAAACTTCGCTCTGTTACAACTGGTAAGATTCATTCAAACGTTTGGAATTTACTGTAGCATTTTCTTTTAAGATCTTATTTATTTGCAAGATAGCGAGATCACGAGCAGGGAGAGGGGCAGAGGGAGCAGCAGACTCCCCGCTGAGCAGGGACACCGATGTGGGGCTTGATCCCAGGACTCTGGGATCATGACCTGAGTCGAAAGCAGACACTTAACCAACTGAGGCACCCAGGCGCCCCTAACATTTTCTTTCCAAGTCATTTACACTGCTTTGGAAAAAATCCCATAAATTTGAAAATAGTAGTTTCTTGGAACTTTCTTAGCTCATGAATTATGAATTCAAGAGCAATAAATTTAACATAAAGATAATTTAAACAAGGGAAGGGAAACTATGCAATTTATCCTAAGGAGATAATTGTAAATGTGTGTAGTGTTTTTAGCTTCAGGGATGTTTTAATATTTTATTTATTTAGTTTTAAAGATTATTTATTTGAAAAAGAGAGAGAGCACGCATGAGAATGTGGAGGGAGTACAGACGGAGAGAGAGGATCTCAAGCAGACTCTGTGCTAAGCACAGAGCCTGACATGGGGCTCAGTCCCACCGCCCATGAGATCACGACCTGAGCCGAAATCACTAGTCGGTTGCTCAACTGACTAAGCTACCCAAGCGCCTTGAGGATGTTTTAATATTTTATATTGGAAAATTACTTAAAAGTTCAGTAATAGTAAATTGAATTAATTATTAACTACGTGTGGAGTAACAATCAGCCATTAAAAATGTTGTGGTAGAACACATTGCTTTTAAATTGGTGATGAAGAAGGGAAAGGTTTCAAGTTAATAAAAACAGCTTAAAAGGACCATGTGTTTCTCTTTCCAGACCCTTCCAGTCTTAAGTCTTCTGATACTAACATCTTTGATAATAACGTGTCTTCAAACAAGAGCTGTTTCAGTCGGGGAGATGAGAGAAGGCATGAAGCCGCAGTGCCGCCTCTTGCGGTTGCTAGCACTAGACCTGAAAAAAGAGATTCCAGGGTTTCTACTAGTTCACAGGAGCAAAAAACCACTACTGTCAGGTAAGAGTCCTGTGTAGACCTGCTGTGGGTAGATGGGTATGTGTATGTGACCTTGACATTAGGTTTTAGATCTTTAAATTTTTGTTTTCAGAAATTTTTGGAAATACTGAGGTGGTTGTAAGCAATTTTTTTTTTTAATAAGATAATGATAAGACCTATGTGTGATTATCTTTTACCTCAAATATAGTAAATCAAAGTTTTAAAAAAGAAAGTAATTTTAAAGTAGATTTTAACGGAATACGTAAAGGGAGTATCTAAACTTTTTCATGAAAATTTAAGTATTCTTTGAAGATTTGAAGATACTGCTCTTAGTTGGTTAAAATTTTGTGTGTGTATTGTTTTTAAAAATAGACAGACTTACGATGATGGAGCTGCAACCCGATTAATGTCAACTGTGAAGCCTCTGAGGGAGCCAGCACCCTCTGAAGATGTGATTGATATTAAGCCAGAACCAGATGATCTCATTGATGAAGACCTCAATTTTGTGCAGGAGAATCCCTTATCTCAGAAAAAACCTACAGTGACACTTGCATATGGTTCTTCTCGCCCTTCTATTGAAATTTATCGACCACCTGCAAGTCGAAATGCAGATAGTGGTGCTCATTTAAACAGGTTGCAATTTCAGCAGCAGCCAAACAGTATTCATGCTGCCAAGCAACCTGATACACAGAACAGCCGGGTATATGAAACAGGACGTTTGTGTGAACCGGAAATGCTTAACAGCTTAGAAGAGACTTATAGTCCTTTTTTCAGAAACAACTCAGAAAAAATGAGTATTGAGGTTTGTGTGTGTGTGTGTGTATATCTATCTATCTCTCTCTATATATTTTTTTAATTTTTAAAAATCTTTTATTTTTTTAAGTAGGCTGCATGCCCATCATGGGGCTTTTGAACTTATAACCCTGAGATCAAGAATCACATGCTCTACTAACTGATCCAGCCAGGCACCCCTGCATATGCTTATAAATTCTGGCTTCTTAGGCTGAAAATTGGCATTTCTTAAAACTGACTATATCTGAAATAACTAAACACATATTGCAAGTTTACTTTAAACTGATTTCTATGCTACTCAACATACTACACCAGATTTTCCTCTCCACAGCTGGCTTCTATAGATATTTTACATCTTGTTTACCTTCCTGGGATGCCAACATTTGAGATAACTGTAACCTTACCTTATAATTTTGGTGGAATTTTAGGTCAGTTTTAGATTTTCCACAGCAGTTACTAGGAAACAACTAAGTAATTCCATTTTATGAGTTTCCTCACCGGTGCTATATTCTGCTGTTTATAAATGAATGTAAAGCACTAGTTTTTGTTTTAGCTAATGATTGGCTCTTAGGATAATATTTACTTTTATAAGAAACTAAGAAATAGCTTGTGAATTCTTAACGTGATTGGCCTTTTCTTGGGGAAAAAAATACTGTGGTAGAACTTTGTTTTTTCTCTGAGACTAGGTAAGCGTAAATTTATCTGATTGCAGGAAGAAAACTTTCGGAAGAGAAAGTTGCCTGTGGTAAGTTCAGTTGTTAAAGTAAAAAAATTCAATCATGATGGAGAAGAGGAGGAGGAAGATGATGACTGTGGGTCTCGTACAGGAAGCATCTCCAGCAGTGTGTCAGTGCCAGCAAAGCCTGAAAGGAGGTACCTTGACCATTGTCTGTAAATTAATCTTTAACTGCCTGATGGAATCTTCTGGGTTTCTTGAAGGAGGATATCATGAAAATAAAATTTTAATAGCATGTAAGATTTTTCTGTTGGTTTTTGAGAAACAGATTAATGAAAGAGGAGTTGCTTAAATCGGAATAGATTGCAGAGAATACTAAAAACTGGAATACGGTGGGGGGAGGGGGTGATCCAGACTCATTATTTAAAAAGTTAAAAGGTTCCAATCTAGTTGACATTTCCTAAAAACTACACCTAGTCTGTACAAAACCTAAGAGAAGGCTGTAGCAAAGGCCTAATGGATAGCTAGCATGTGAAGAACTCAAATCTAAAATTTAATCAAAATACTTTTTAACTTTTTTTAGACCTTCACTTCCACCTTCTAAACAAGCTAACAAGAATCTAATTTTGAAGGCTATATCTGAAGCTCAAGAATCTGTAACAAAAACAACTAACTATTCTACAGGTAATTTAAATATATTATGTTTACATTAAGGGAGTTTTCTTTAATTCTTGAGGAAGTTAGAATTGATTGCTTCCCAAGTTGTGGTATAGTAAAGACACTTGCCGGATGTCAGGACCAAGAAGAGGTTCAGAGAAGAACGGTTTTAGAAGGAGATCACTTTGAGAAACTTCCAGCTGTCAGTGTAATTTAGTTCTTTGAGCAACTGTGTAATGCCTTTTATTCCCTCTTTCTAGTGTGTGTGAAATATAAAGTTTTTATAGGGAGTTTTGATAAAGGTGGGACTTTCATATTCATGGCATTGGAGTTAGCATTTGATAGAAATTTATGATCTATAAAAGGGAGCAGAGTTGGATATTAAGAGGTCAGGGTTAGAAAAATTTGGCTAGTGCATGAGCAGATTGGCTTCTTTGCTTTCAGTAGAGCCCATGAAGGAATATAAGGCAGAGAAGACTCATTTGTGATGTTCCTTCCCTAGTCCTAGTGGAAGTACTAAATTATTTTATGAGAGAATATAAAGGTATTGCATGTTTTTAAAACAAAGGAAATAAGTCACATATAATCTGACCTTACAGAAAGCTTGTTCTGAAAGCAAACTAAATCGTGGGTGCCATATTGCTATAAATTCTGTACTCTGCCCCACGTGCTGAAGCCAGTGTGTAAAACTTTCGGTTAATAAAAACTGATGATTGCCCACTCTAAAAATTTTTATTTTATTTTTGCTATGGATTTGATGACTGTTCTTTTAGCATTTTTCTGCTATTTCATTCTCTTTTGTATCTCTTTTTGTGACCCCTTCCTAAAGTGGAAGTAAATTATGTTATCAGCTTTTGAACCTCATAGGTATCCTCTTGCTTCTCCTTTCTAACTTAACCTTGAACATAAACAGGTTTTGGCATATATAAGGGTTATCAGGCAAAGGCCAAAACTAGACCTGATGTATTTACATTTCATTTCTTTGCCTTTCCACAATTGAGTAGTTTTTTGTGTTTTTTTTTTTTTAAGGTATTATTTATTTGAGAGAGCATGAGCAGGGGTGGTGGGGAGAGGGAGAAGCAGGCTCCCCGCTGAGCAAGGAGCCCTATGCTGGGCTCGATCCCAGGACCCTGGGATCATGACCTGAGCCAAATTGAGTCAGATGCTTAACCAACTCAGCCACCCAGGTGCCCCCCTGTTTTTATAATAGTGGAAGATTCCCCACATATTTTTGAGAACTAGCATTGAAGTTCATTCTTGACCTATATTATGTAAATTATAATTTTTTAAAGTTGTTACATGATCATGAAGCAAAGTTTAAACTACATTTGGTTGGGGCGCCTGGGTGGCTCAGTCGTTAAGCGTCTGCCTTCGGCTCAGGTCATGATCCCAGGGTTCTGGGATCAATCCCCACATCGGGCTCTCTGCTCAGTGGGGAACCTGCTCCCTCTCTCTCTGCCTGCCGCTCTGCCTGCTTGTGCTCTCTCTCTGTCAAATAAAATCTTTAAGAAAAAAAAAAAAAACTACATTTGGTTAAAAATGAATACATATATGTGGCAGTGTATTTATGGCATGTGGTTTAAAATGTATAGATGAAGCAGGTATCTATTTTTCTGGAATATTATAAGAAAAAAGTGTTATCTGTGAACTGTTTCAAATTCTTCATATGTTCTAAACTCAAGGAGGCATTTATGTTTAAGAGGACATATTCACTGCTCAGTTTTGATGTATTACTGCATCTGCATTTCCCATCTTTTTTCCTTTTAAAAAGTCTCACAGAAACAGACACTTCCAGTTGCTCCCAGAACTCGAACTTCTCAAGAAGAATTGCTGGCAGAAATGGTCCAGGGGCAAAGCAGGACCCCCAGAATAAGTACCCCCATTAAAGAAGAGGAAACAAAGGGAGATAATACAGAAAAAAGCCAAGGTAATAATTTAAATAACATGTCATTCTCTACTCTTACACTTTCTCATGAGGCTTTAAACATTTGCCAGTGGGTGTTTATGAAATGTTAGTTCTATGAGAAAACTGCTCATTAGGCCCAAAAATAGGATGAGAAGGCACCATGAGGAAAGTCTAAGCCTACACATTTCAGAATTTTTATAAATCTTTTTATTATAGAAATTTTTAATGTTTTTAAAAGTGGGAAGAATAGTGCAATGAATTCCCATGAACCCAGTTACCTAGCCTTAATAATTACCAGTATTTTGTTGGTCCTCAGAAAGTTTCTACTTAGAGATACATAGATACTTGCATTTTTTCTTCTTTTTATTAATCCTACCCCTGTTCTCTTGAACTGGGAATTGCATCTTTAAATCTCCTTTCTTAGCATCCTTTCTTTGACCTGGTCAATTGTCCCAGTGACTCTACTTTATTCTTTTGCTGCTGGCAAACTGCAGTTAGCCTCGAGCTGATCTTTCTGTGTCCTTTCTTTCATCCCCCACTAACACCATCTCCAGTACACTTTGCCTGTGTAAAGTGTGCTCTGATCATGTGACTTCTTCTTGAGAGCATTGTAACTTTTCCACCTCATGCATTGTCTGGGATTGATGCCAACAGCTTGGCCTTTAGGCAGTTTGGCTGTCTGGTCTCTGGGCCTGCCCAGTCATTTTCCACTGCTCTCCGACCGCTTCTCTTCCTATCAAAAAAGGTCCTAGTTTCCATCTTTTTCTTTTCTATTGAGAGCTAAATTAGAAAACCCCATCAAAACTGAATGCTCGTCATGTTATTTCTGACTTACACTTTTCTAATGCTGACATGCATTTTTTCATTCCTCCTTAACTGTGTTCTTGAAACTGTTTCAGGTTCATTTCAAATTTATTTGTTTCATGAGGCCTTAATGATTCCATTCTGTATTTGTCTCTTCATTCTCTCTTTAAAAAAAAAAAATCCTTGTGCATTTTGCCATGTCAGCATTATGTGCAAATCCAATAAATGATGGGCCTGAGAACAGGAAAATTCTGAAACAGCCAGTAGGTACTAACTAGAAAGTGTAAATGGGCCAATTTGTAAAGAGCAACTGGAAAGCATTTGAGCTTCAGTGAGGGTAAGAATTGCAGTGTATTGAAGCCCATCCGACAGGTTTAAATCCAAGATTTCATAATATTTTTTTAAAGATTTTATTTATTAGAGCACGAGCAGCAGGGAGGGGTGGAGGGAGAAGCAGACTCCCCACTGAGCAGGGAGTCCGATGTGGGACTCTATCCCAGGATCTGGGATCATGACTTGAGCCGAAGGCAGATGCTTAACCGACTGAGCCACCCAGGCACCCCCATGATTTCGTATTTTTTAAAAGTAAATTAATTGGTCACCTTCTAGAGGTATAATAGATACTAATTCATTGTGTTGAAAACTGGATAAATAAAATTATTGAGCATGCTGTCTTTCCGTTAAAGAATGGTATCCCTGTATAACCAAATAGTATAGGAGTTAAGATCTGCTTTTGTAAATACAGTTTTATTGGACTCATTCATGTATATATTGTCTCTTGCTGCTTTTGTACTACATCCAGAGTTGAATATAGCCGATGAGGAAAGCACTTTTTTTTTTTTTTAAGATTTTATTTATTTGTTTGACAGAGAGAGATACAGCGAGAGAGGGAACAGAAGCAGAGGGAGTGGGAGAGGGAGAAGCAGGCTCCCCGCAGAGCAGGGAGCCCAATGTGGGGCTCGATCCCAGGACCCTGGGATCATGACCTGAGCCGAAGGCACTTAACGACTGAGCCACCCAGGTGCCCCCCCTTTTTTTTCTCTAAAGTAAACTCTGTGCCCAGTGTGGAGCTTGAACTCATGACCATGAGATCAAGAGTTGCAGTCTTCAGACTGAGCCAGCCAGGCACCCCTAGAAAAAGCATTTTTAAAAATTCCTCCAGCTCATAAGTAAAAACAGAATGATAGGATTATAGCTTGTTGGGTTCCCCCCCCCAACTCAGTGAATTAATCTAGGCACTGATGATTAATGGCTACTAAAAAAAGCAAAATAGTCATTTCATGCCTCCAGATGAAAGAATAAAACTACCTTAGTCTTGGCAGCAGGTCTTTCTGCCCATAGGTCCTGTCCCCATGCTTTAATAAAATCACTGTTTTGCACCAAAAAAACAAAACTACCTTAATCTTGCCAGAGGATTTGAACCTGGGTTATCAGGGCTCTGATCCAGCAGTCAACTTGCAGGAAGTACAGAGGCCCAAGGAATATGTTGGTTGTCACACCATGAATGTGCATGCAGCAGGCAAAGAACAGTCTCTGGGACTCCATATAGGTCAAACAGCCTGAGAATTCTAGATTAAAAGACAAAATAACAAGGTGCAAGGTTAAACTGTAGTGTCTAGAGAGATACACACTTGTGTGCCACAAAGAAATTTTAGGTTACTATAAGGCATAAGTGGTTACTTTAGGAGAGGACTGATCGAGATGGAGCAAATATGGAGAGGTTTCTGGGGTGGTTGGCACAGTTCTATTTTCTGGACCTGAATGGTGACTGTAAGGATGTTTTGCCTTACAAAATTCATTAAGCTACTGTTTTGTGTGGTTCTCTCTGTGTTTGTTTTAAAAGTAAGAGGTCAAAAATTTGAAATGGAATCAAGTACATCTGATGAGGACTTACTACCCTTACTGAATTGGTTTATTCGCAAGTGCAAAGTGACATTCTGCAAGCAGCGATTAATTACTGTACTTAACTGTTTTACAGCTTTGTGACTAAAATCTAAATATGCATACATATATTGGCACGATATTGGCATTTTTTCATCTCTCTGGTCTCTGTATTTTTACTAGCCTAACCACCTCACAGTATTCATGCTATTTCTCTTTTTGTCTCGGATTAGTCTGTCACCAGAAGTTTATTTTGTTAATGTGTTCAAAGACTTAACAATAATTCTGGCTTTTTTGATTCTCCTTTGATGTCTTGGTTTTCTATTTCTTTGGTTTCTGCTCTTATTTTTAATATATCCACCTATATTTTTAATTAATAATTTATCTCTGTCTTTTCAAATGTAAACATTTAAGCTGTAAATTTCTCTTGAGGTGCCATTTCTGTTGCATATCACAAATTTTGATATATAATGTTTTTATTATCAAAGTATCTTTAATTCCTATTATGATCTTCATCTTTGACCCATGAGTTATTTGGAAATGTTTGTAATTTATAATATACAGAGGATTTGTCTTTTAGTCTTTTATTATGTAAATTGATTGCATTGTGTCAGTGTGATCTGTGTAATACATATTTTTTGAGAATTGTTAAGACTTAAGACATTAATTTTGCACATCTTCCATGTGCATTTTGAAAGGAAGTAGGCTATAATTGTTGGATTGAGAATTTTGCATTGAGTAGATAAAGCTCTATGGTTATGTTGTTCAAATCTTGACCTTACTGGGTGTTTGGTTTGCTTGACTTAATGAGAGAAGGTCTTGAGCTTGTCCATTACGATGACAAATTTATCTCAATTTCTCTATACTTCTATCGTATTTGTTTTCCATGCCTTTATTGTCAGTCTTCTCTGACCTCTTTAATGCTTTAGGCAGATATATCTCTTAAATATTATAAAGCTAGATTGTTGTTTTTGTTTGTTTTGTAAAGATTTTATTTATTCCGGGGGGGGCGCGGAGCAGAGGGAGAGGGACAAGCAGACTTCGTGCTGAGTGTGAGACCCGATGTGGGGCTTGATCTCAGGACCCTGAGATCATGATCTGAGCCAAAACCAAGTCAGACCCTTAACTGACTGAATGCCCAAGGCGCCCCTATATTGTTGTTTTTTTAACCCAATCTGAGTTTGCCTATTAATGGAAAGTTTAAGCCATTCATAGCTCTGTCATCTTTTCTTTTTTTTTTTTTTTGCCAAAGATTTTATTTATTTGACAGAGAAAAAGAAAGCACAAGCAAGGGGAGTGGCAGGCAGAGGGAGCGGGAGAAGCAGTCTCCCTGCTGAGCAGGGAGCCCGATGCGGGCTTGATCCCAGGACCCCTGGGATCATGACCTGAGCCAAAGGCAGATGCCTAACTAACTGAGCCACCCAGGCACCCTTCTTTTTTGATTCGTATTGGCCTTTCATCTTTTTCCTCCCTGTTTGCCTTTAAGATTCATTAGTCACTATTGTTGATTGCCCCAGCTCTGCATTTTTTTTTTTAACTAAACACTCCCATTTCTGTTCATTCAGTGGTTAGCACTGAAATTTTACCATGCAAATTTAATTGCATATTCCAGAAGTTAATGTTCTGATCCCATTTCCAAAGTAAATGAACTGTAGTTCCAGTCTTTACCCTTCTGGCTTATGTTGTTTCCAGTGTTTCATTTTAGTCATTTTTTAAATGCATAAGTTGGGCACCATTATTATTTTACCCAGGCAATGTTTACCTACGTGTTTATCAGTTTTTGTTCTCAAATCTTGAATGTTATTCGGGGATATCATCTTCCATTGTTTTGAAGTATTTTTGAAGTGTATTCTTTGGCAGTTTCTTTAAGAATGGGTCTAGACGCTCTAAATTTGCAAAGAGTCTGTTTATCTTTGTGATTTTTCCTTCCTTGTTCTTGTGCAGTAATTTTGCTGGATACCAATAGTTATTCTCAACACCTTGTATGTATTATTCCGTTGTCTTCTGGCTTCCATTATTGTTGAGTGGACTTCTGTCATTCTAATTGTCTGTCGTTCCTTTGTAGGTGATCTGTCCTTTCTCTGGCTGCTTTCAAGATCTTCTCTTTGTCTTTGATGTTCTGCAGTTTCACTACGATGTGTCTAGGCGTGGATTTCCTTTGGTTTTCCTATTTTGTATATGTTGTATAAAAAACAATTAAATAAAATATTTTACATATGAAACGTTTCCCGTAGAAAATTTGGAAAAGCAGATCTTTGTAATGTTTGTTGATAGATTAGAAACTAATCAAATAGTGTAGAAAATTTAAAAATAAAAAGCAGTGTTCTTTGCTTCAT